GAAAGTCCTGCTCCCAGACATCCCATCGTCCAGTGGTTCGGGCACTAACTGCAGATGTAGGTTCACTTCCCATCAGGCAGAGGGGAGATTTGAACCTGGGCCTTCTACGTCTTGGGCTCTAACCACAGGGCTAAAGCCAGGGCCGGCTCTAGGCACCAGCGTTCCAAGCATGTGCTTGGGGTGGCACTTCTCAAGGGGCAGCACTCCGGTTTGTTTGTTTTTTGCTTCGGCAGCAGCACTCCGGTTTGTTTGTTTTTTTTTGCTTGGGGCGGCCCTGCTCCCGGGGGCTCCCCTCCTGCGTCCTGGTGGCTGCTGGGGGATGGAATCCAGCCGGGCCCTTTCCCTGCGCCGGGGAGAGCGCGGCGGCTAAGGGAGGGAGACCCCGGCGGGCAGGAGCGAACCCCCCAACCCCCAGCCCCATGGGGGAGAGGAGGGGCCTGGGCTGCCCTGAAGGCCCAGCGGGCTGGGTGGGGGGTCCCTGCCTGGCTCAACAGCACAGACGCCCGGGCTGCCCCGGAGCTGGCTGGGAGGGTCTCTCCGGTCCCAGTTTGGCTCCAATCCCCCTGGCCCTGCGGCCGCTTCCTCCGGGCAGCGATTTCCTGTCTCAGCTGCTGTGTCTCTCCCTCCCTGGGGCCGCTTCTGGCTGCGACTCGCTGCGCCCGGTGCCCCGCTCACCACCCTGGGGCTGCAGCCTGCGGAGGGAGACTTGCTCTGGCGCACATGCAGGACCCAGGCAGTCGGGGCACTGGGGCAGGAAGGTCCCTGGACAGCGCCATGAGATGGGCTCTGCCTGGGAAAGGGAGGAAGACAGGAACTCCCTGCAACCCCTCCCCCACCAACCCTTCCCTCTGCCAAGGTCTCTGGGTGTCTTCGCCCCCCAGTGCCAGTTGCACAGCTCATTGCTCCTATCAGCGGAGCTCAGTGACCGCCCCAGCGGCTCCCTCCACGGCAATTTCTAATTTTGTACATTCGTTCTTGCCTGCCCGTCTGAGGGCTCAGTCATGTGGGTGGCCACCTGCCACGCGCCATTGGGCCGGAAGGCATCCATGACTGCCATCAGCCGTGTCTTCCCTCTCTAGCCAAACCACGACAGGCCTGGCTGAAGCTGCAGGCTTTGCTAACCAGATGCCGGGGACTCTGGGCGGCTCCCCCAGGCCGGTTTTCTGATCTTCTCCAAAATCCCCAGGGGTCTGATCAACAATGCCGTGAACATTCCCTGGAGTTCTGGAATCAATTTCTTGGGGTGGGGCCTCACTTCACTCAGCTAGCGATTGGTCCATCTGTCCGTCTGTCCAATCAATCAGTCCATCCACGTGTGTCAGAGCAATCCAGCTCTGTGCTCCCTCTACAGGTCAGAGGTCCATTCTAAGCTGGCCCAGTCCCCCTCGGTGTGGACACCCATCCATTGCCAGTGGGCCCAGTCATTGGATCCCATGTGCGCTCAAGTCCCCTGGCTCTGGGCAGAGTCTAGTCCCTGTTTCCAGCTCTGGGTCTATGGGGCACATGCCCAGGCTCAGACCTCTTGTCTGAGCCCGTCCTTGGGACATGGGACTCCACCGTCCAGCCGTCCTAGATCCTGAAACCTTCCGAGTCTCTCCCCCCAGCCCCAATGGCCAAGGCTGTGGGCACTCTGGGCTTCTAGTTTAACCCTTTCATGGCCAATGGGGTGGGAAAATGTAGAGAGGAGGCATAGCCTCCCTTGGAGACTGATAGGGAGGAGGCACCATTCACCCTGGTGGGTGGAGCCGAGCCAGCGGCGCCCGCCCCACCGGAAGCAGAGAGGTGGGACAGGACGTTTAAGAGGCGGGCCCTGCAGCTCAGTTTTGGGCCAGAGCTGGTGAAGGAGACAGATGCATCCTACCTGGGCTGAGCCCCAGGCCCGAGGACAAGCCCTGCAGCACTGAGGCCCAGAAGGACTGCTGGGCTGGCTGACGGCTGACCACGTGCACCGGGGAGATGGAGGACCCCCACAGCAGTGGGGTCATAGGAAGTAGCCCAGGGACACCAGACAATAGTCCAGTTGTGCAGAGGCGCCATTTCAGATTTTGGTCAGGGAGGCACCTTTAATCATGATTCCAGGGGCTACTTAGGCACCTGAAAACTAGTTTTTTGGCAGGTAACTTGGCAGTTAGCTGACAGGAGCCCTGTATCTAATTCCTATATGAAAGAAAGAAAATTAAATATTAGACACACTCAGCGCTAACACTAACCTGTTCTGACATCTTGTGGCAAATCACTTAAGGGACACTAGTTAAGTTTAAAATTGTAATATATATTCTTACTTTGCTACTAACTCTGTGGAGAGAGAGACCCAGTCAGGACTCCTGGGTTCTATCCCAGCTCTGGGAGGGGAGTGGGATCTAGTGGGTTACAGTGTGGGGCAGATACATCTGGGTTCTATATAAGAACATCAGACTGGCCATACTGGGTCAGACCAATGGTCCATCTAGCCCAGTATCCTGTCTTCTGACGGTGGCCAATACCAGGTGGCCAATACCAGGGAAATGAACAGAACAGGTAATCATCAAGTGATTCATCCCCCCATTGCCTACTCCCAGCTTCTGGCAAACAGAGGCTAGGGACATGCAGAACATGGTGTTACATCCTTCCCCATCCTGGCTAATAGCCATTGATGGACCTATCCTCCATGAACTTATCTAGTTCTTTTTTGAACCCAATTATACTTTTGGCCATCACAACATCCCCTGGCAATGAGTTCCACAGATTGACTGGAAAGAAATACTTTCTTTTGTTTGTTTTAAATCTGCTGCCTATTAATTTCATTGGGTGACCCCCAGTTCTTGTGTTATGTGAAGGAGTAAATAACTTTTCATTATTCAATTTTTCCACACCATTCATGATTTTATAGACCTCTATCATATCCCCCCTTAGTCGTCTCTTTTCCAAGCTGAAAAGTCCCAGTTTTATTACTCTCTCCTCATACGGAAGCGGTGCCATACCCTTAGTCATTTCTGTTGCTCTTCTCAGTACCTTTTCCAATTCCAATATATCTTTTTTGAGATGGGGCGACCAGATCTGCACGCAGTATTCAAGATGTGGGCATACCATGGATTTATATATTGGCAATATGATATTTTCTGTCTTATTATCTATCCCTTTCTTAATGATTCCCGTCATTCTGTAAACTTTTTTGACTGCCACTGCACGTTGAGCAGATGCTTTCAGAGAACTATCCACAATGACTCCAAGATCTCTATCTTGACAGGTAACAGCTAATTTAGACCCCATCATTTTATATGTATAGTTGGGATTATGTTTTCCAATGTGCATTACTTTGCATTTATCAACACTGAATTTCATCTGCCATTTTGTTGCCCAGTCACCCAGTTTTGTGAGATCCCTTTGTAACTCTTTGCAGTCAGCTTTGGACTTAACTATTTTGAGTAATTTTGTATCATCTTCAAATTTTCCCACCTCACTGTTTACCCCTTTTTCCAGACTATTTATGAATATGTTTAATAGTACTGGTTGGAGAACAGACCCCTGGGGGACACCACTATTTACCTCTCTCCATTCTGAAAACTGACCATTTATTCCTACCCTCTGTTTCCTATCTTTTAACTGGAGTGCCTGGCAGTGTTTTCAGGATCCTCTAAGCCTACACTGGCAATTTACAGCGCTGCAACTTTCTGGCTCATGGGAGTGAAAAAACACCCCCCTGAGCGCAGCAAGTTTCAGCGCTGTAAAGTGGCAGTGTAAACAGTGCCCCAGCGCCGCTCGTTGTGGTTTTTTTAGAGCGCTGCGCCGCACATTAAAGCGTTGCCGCGGCAGCGCTTTAGCGTTGCCAGTGTAGACTGGCCCTAAGTTCTGTGCTGCTCCCAGCTTCTGCCCTTGGGGCAAGGAGTTTGTTTCTAAACAGAGGCAGAGTGATCAAGATAACAAAAGGCTTGAGCATTGGCCTGTTAAACCCAGGGTTGTGAGTTCAATCCTTGAGGGGGCTACTTAGGGATCGGGGCAAAATCAGTACTTGGTCCTGCTAGTGAAGGCTGGACTCGATGACCTTTCAAGGTCCCTTCTAGTTCTAGGAGATGGGATATCTCCATTAATTAAATTAAATTAAGGATCCTTAGAGCAGTGGTCTCCAAAGTGGGATGCGCAAGAGGATCCTTGGGGGTGCGCGGCAGGAGGAGCACTTTTTTTTTTTTTTTTTGCTTCGTCAGGCGTGAGTCCGAGCGGCTTTTTGTTGTTTTTTAGTTCGGCGCGGCAGGGGGTGCGTGCCCAAAGTTTTTTTTACTGATAGGGGTGCGTGATCAAAAAGTTTGGAGACCACTGGTCTAGGGTTACTTGGTCCTGCCTCTGCGCAGGGGGCTGGACCTGATGACCTGTCAAGGTCCCTTCCAGCCCTACATTGCTATGATTCTCTGGGCCCTCAGAGAAAGGTTGGGGGAGGGGAGGGCTCCTGCCAGGGGTCAGGCAGACGAGACGGCGTTCTGCAGGGGTTTATGTCAGGATCAGAGCGGCAAATCATAATAACTGGGAGTCCAAGCAGCTTCTGAGCTTCCCTGCAGGCGAGAACAACACGTCCAGGGCCATGTTGAGCCCTGAGACAGGGCCCTCAGCACGGAGACAGGAGGAGGCAGATCCCGGTGGGGAAGTTTATTTCCTACAGATACAATTGACTAACACCACAGGAGACTGGATCATCACCCAAAACAGCAGGAGGGTGGGATCCAGGTGCCTGATGGGAACCGAGCGCCAAGGGTGGGGCTGGCTGGATGCCAGCTGCACCAAGCACAGGAACGGATGTTCTCCAGGTGCCAGTGGACTCTGTGCACCGTGGAAAGAGGAGCCAGGCACTGGAGACGCCACCAGGGAGAAGGAGATTAGGCACTCCCTCACCCCCCACCCAGCCGTATGGGAGCATACATCTGTCTGGCCTCTGACAGCAGCCCCCTCCAGTTTCCAGCAGCCTCACGCACCCCTCCCCATGGCTCCCTATACCCCCCCCCGAGCCCCTGGGAGAGGGGAAGGAGCAGAGAGTGAGGACCAGAGCTGTGGAGTTCCAGGGGAACGAAGGAACAGGTCCCCCCCAACCCCACCCAGGAGCGGGCACAGACAAAAACCCCCAAGTCCTTCAGAGATCACTCCCTCGCTATTATGGGGATTCTCACCTTTTCCCTACCAGGATCCCACTGCCATATAGCCGGGAACCCTCCCCCCCCCCTTAGCAACAAGGAAGGGGTAGGGTTACCACGACCCCCTTTGTGGGGCAGCGATCCCAGGCTGAGAACCCTGCCGTGTGGCCTCTAAGCATTTCTAATAGCCCCATCTTGACTGGGGCAGAAGGGACCCCCATGTTCACTTCCTTCCCCACTTCAACTAATTTCCACCCATGGGCCCCTCAGTCATTCCCGTCCCCCCTTCCCCCCATACACACGCTGCATCCATATCGCAATGGGCTGTGCCTTGCCCCAGGGGAAAAACTATGTCAGGTCTCTGGGCTGCTGTGGTTCCTAAAGAGCCTGTTCCGTCTCTCTAAAGAGGCCTGGTCTCTGGTCTCTAAGGTCCTTGGTTTCTAAGGAGGCCTGGTCCCTAAAGAGGCCTGGTCCCAGGTCTCCAAGGTCCTTGGTTTCTAAGGAGGCCTGGTCCCTAAAGAGGCCTGTCTCTGGTCTCTAAGGAAGCCTGGTTTCTAAGGTCCCTAAAGAGATGTGAACAGTGAACAGACCTGTCCTCACATGGGGACTCTAGGCCACGTGGACCCTTTGGTGCCGGACAAGGTGGGAGCTGAGGATGAAGCTCCTCCCACACTCTGGGCATTTGTAGGGTTTCTCTGCCGAATGGGTGCGCTGGTGCTGATTCAGGGTGGAGCTGTCACCAAAGCCCTTCCCACACTCAGAGCACTTGTAGGGCCGCTCCCCGGTGTGGGTGCGCTGGTGCTGGATCAGGGCCGAGCTGTCCCCAAAGCCCTTCCCACACTGGGTGCATTGGTAGGGTCGCTCCCCCGTGTGGGTGCGCTGGTGCTTGATGAAAGCTGAGCCCCAGCTGAAGCTCTTCCCACACTTGGGGCAGCTGTAGGGCCGCTCCCCGGTGTGGGTCCGCTGGTGCTTCACGAGGGTTGACTTGTGCCGGAAGCTCTTCCTGCACTGGGGGCATTTGTAGGGCTTATCACCACGGTGGGTCCTCTGGTGCCCGATCAGGGTGGAGCTGTGGCTGAAGCTCATCCCGCAATCAGCGCATTTGTAGGGGCGTTCCCCCGTGTGGACCCGCTGGTGCTGAACCAGGTGTGAGTTCCGGCTGAAGCTCTTCCCGCACTCGGTGCATTTGTAGGGCCGCTCGCCCGTGTGGATGCGCTGGTGCTGGATGAGGTAGGAGCTGTCGCTGAAGCTCTTCCCGCAGTCAGGGCATTCGTAGGGTCTCTCACCGTGATGCACCTTCTGGTGGCGTGTAAGGCCTGACTTGTCTCCGAAGCTTTTCCCACAGTCCAGGCATTCGTAAGGCCGCTCGCCCGTGTGGGTGCGGCGGTGCTGCAGGAGGTAGGAGCTGTCGTTGAAGCCCTTCCCGCAGTCAGGGCATTTGTAGGGCCTCTCACCGGTGTGGATCCGCTGATGCTTGGTGAGGTGGGAGCTCTGGCTGAAGCTCTTCCCGCACTGGGAGCAGCTGTAGGGTCTCTCCCCCGTGTGGATCCGCTGGTGCTTAATAAGATCTGAATACTGGCTAAAGCTCTTCCCACATTGCCCACAGATGGTCAGTCTCTGGGGGACAGACATGCTATTGAGAAGCCCAAAGCCATTTTCCACCCCTCGGAGGTCTCCCCCCTGCCGTCCCACCCTGTTGGCCTCTCCCTGCTCGGGGCTCTGCGACGGCCTGTGTGGCTCCTGCTGGGGATTCTCCTCCTCCTTCCTGGCACCTGTTGGGAGAAAGAGAAAATCCAGTTCTGTGACAGGGAGAGAGGGAAGGCAACAAAGGGATTTGTCACCAAACAGAAAACCCGATGGGCAGGAAGCAAACCCCCCACCCCCCAAACCCTTCCCACAGGGGAGAGGAAGGGCCAGCAAAGGAATTTGTCATTCACCCGTTGATATGTCTGAAAAGTTTAATCTGGTTGTGAAGGACTGGGGAAAGGGAGAAAGTCACCTCATCTATCTACCCTAACCTCTCTGTGTTGTGTCTACTCCTCCTAATCTAATCTGTGAATCCTCCCTTATCCCATGGCAGTTTATGGTATCCATTCATCCAAATCCCGGGTCTAGTTCTGGTGTCCACAACTTCAGAAAAGGTGTTAACAAATTGGAGAGGGCTCAGAGAAGAGCAACAAGAATGATTTGTCCGTTCTGGATAACCTGTTTTATAGCATACAAAGCTCAGTTGATTTAGCCTATCAAAGGGAAGTGACTTGATCATGGTCACTGGAAGACGATATCATCATCGATTCTAAGGCCAGGAGGGACCATCTAGTCTGACTTCCTGTGCAACCCAGGCCAGAGGACGTCCCTCCTGATAATTCCTGTTTGAACCAGAGCAGGTCTTCTAAAAACAAAAACAACTAAAAAAACAAACAAACCACCCAACCTTGATTTTTCAAATTGCCCATGGTAGAGAATCCACTACGATCCTTGGTCAGCTGTCACAATGGCAAATTGCCCTCACTATCACAAATGTTCACCTTGTTTCCAGTCTGAATTTGTCTGGCTACAAATTCTAGCCTTTGGGTCCTGTTAGACCTTTGTCTGCTAGACTGAAGAGCCCACTACTAAAATTTTGTTCCCCACATATGTAGTTAGACTGCTCAAAGCACCCCTTCACCTTCTCTTTATTAAGCTAAATAGATGGAGCTCCTGGAGTCTATCATCCTAAGGCAGGTTGTCCAATCCTTCAATCATTCTTGTGGCTCTTCTCTGACCCCTCTCCAATGTATCAACATCCTTCTTGAAGTGTGGAGCCCAGAACTGGACAGTCTACAGTAATGGCATCACCCTCCCCTAGTCCTTTTCAGAGTCACTCCTTCCCAGGTCTGCGGGATCTTTGATACAAGAGAGCTTTTTAATCTACTGGACAAAGGGAGAACGAGACCCAACAGCTGGGAATTGAAGCTGGACTAATTCAAACTGGAAATAAGATATTGATTCTTAACAGGGAGGGGATTTAGTCAGTGGAACAGCCTTACCAAGGGATGGGATGGATTTTCCATTAGATGGAGACGGGGTTGTCTTTCTTTACGGAGACAGTGCAGCCAACTGGATAGAACACCAGGACTCCTGGGTTCTATTCCTGGCTCTGCTACTGGGATGCCTTGGGCAAGTCCATTTCCCTCTCTGTACCTCAGTTTTCCCATCTGTAAAACAGGGGAAACGAGCCCTCCTCTATGAAAGTCCCATGACGATGCTCTCCAGCCTGGGCTACGCAGGAAGGGCAGGCTGGACAACCATCATGGTTACTTTTGGCCAACCATCTAGGGATCCATGGATGGTCCCCTCTGGTTTTCCAATCCATGACACTAATCAGCCTGCCACAAGCCTTTCCGAATACTCCCTTGGCCCAGCTTATCTAGTGCCCCCATCCAGACCAAGGCCACCAAGTCTAGTTATAGAGGCAGAGATGTGGAGGATGAGTGAGGGTACGTCTGCTCCAGTGTGAGCAGCCCCCCTGCCAAGCTCTGTCCAAGTCACCACGTCCTCTGGTGCTGCCTTGCAGGTGGGTTGCAATGCCAGGGCTTCTGGGGAGCACATCCCACAATGCTTTGTGCCGCACTCAGCTGAGCTGGCTCTGTGATTCTTTCCCAGTGCTTCCTGGGAGATGCCATCTGGCCTTCTGGGCACATGGGGATGATGGGAAGGCGTCAGCAGACCAGCGGCCCTCAAGGGGCTTAGCCAGCCTCCTCACTGCGAAGCGGGGAGGTTAGCAGCCAGGTCCAGCACTTGAGGAAGACCCATATTGGTGGCAAGGGGCCGGATCACCTGGCCAAGGCTAAATGAAGGAGCCTGCGGCTGGCTAGATCTCCAGAAGCCAAGAGGACTCCCATGGGGCCTGGAAGCCAAACGCTATGGAGCGATGGTGCCCTTGTCCCCTGGGGAGGAGGGACAGAAATAGGGACACTGCTTGTCCCCGGCTGGGGACGATACTGAGCGAGGGGAGACAGACCTGGGGGGCTCCCGCTGGCTTGGCTGGGATCCCACCTGTTCCCTTCGCTCCCAGCCGGCGTCGCTCATTCCTCACCTGTGCGGGCGGCTCTGGGGAGCTCCCTGCCCGGGGAGCGCTGGAGATCCGGGACCCGGGGCTCTGCCCCCGGCTCCATGCGGGGGATCGCGGCCGGGCCGGGGGATCCCGCTTGGCGAAATCTCCCCCCGGGGCCCGGTGCAGAGAACGCGCCCGGGCGGATCCAGGCCGGGGACCCTTCGGGGCAGCGACCGAGATCACTGGGGAGAACCGGGCAGGGCTGGGTTCGGCTCCGGTCCCCTCCGGGCAGCGGGTTCCTGCCCCTGCTGCTGTTTCCCGAGCCGGGGACTCAGCCCTGCGCACGCCCGGGCCAGGACCCGGGCTCCGGGGCGGCTGGACAGGAAGGTCCCTGCGCGGCTCCGGCCCCGCGGCTGGCAGCTCCCTGGGAAGCGGAAGGTTCAGGAGAGCGGTGGATTTAACCCGTTCTTCTCCGGGCCTTGCAGAGACACCGCTGGTTAGAGTCACTTCCGATCCCCCCCCCCCCCTTTCTAAAGTGGTTAGCTCGCGCTCTTCTCCTAGCTGGGATCAGGACCCAGGAGCCCTGACCCCCCTAGACCCCACTCCCTTCCCCCGAGAGCCAGGGATAGGAGTAGAACCCAGGAGTCCTGACTCCCACTGCGAACCCACTAGACCCCACTTCCTCTCCCCCCCAGACCTGCGGATAGAAGTTAGAACCCAGGAGTCCTGACCCACCGATTCAATTCTTATCTAGGCAGAAGACTCCTCAAAACTACCACACAACCACGTGAGACGTGCAGATGGTGACAAAAGAGATCCAGGAAAGGTGATGAATATACACAATAACCCACTGTAGTTAAGATGTTCAATGGGCCTAGAGCAGGGGTTGGCAACGTTTGGCACACGGCTCGCCAGGGTGCTCCTGTTAATTGCTGTCATCAACACCCATCCAGGGAAGAATCCACTAGCACAGGAACTCCGTATAAGGAAGTTTCCTCGGAGGGAGCACGTAGGTAATGGAGAATGTTTGGCCAATGGGGTGGACTCCCCATGTCACATTTATAGGTTCTTCCAGCTTGCTGGAAAGTCTATGCACGATGAGGAGTGACATCATGACTTGGTCTTCACTCCCCCACAACTCAACACCTGAAAGAAGCTCTGGGGGACAAAAGACTCTGAATGGGGGAGGGAAACCCAAGCTGCAACGCAGATGCGGCTTGTGCCTCAAGAATCTGTAAGCCTGCTTGTATCATCAGACAGGGTGAGATGTTGCTGATTCTAGTTTGTATAAGACTTAGTTTGTGATTTTGTTTATTTACTAGGTAATCTACTTTGATCTGTTTGCTATCACTTAAAATCTATCTGCACTGGTACTCGACCGGCCCATCACTCTCCCTGAAGCCCTTCCCACACTCGGGACACTTGTAGTGCTGCTCCAGCACCCACTGTGTCCTCTAGTGTTGAGCGAAATGCAAGGCCAAGCCCTTCCTCCAGCTGCCATGTCATCGCAGCCGCACCAGGAGGGCCACTCTTCGGTGGGGGTATGCTGGTGCTGCAGGGCATGGGAACTCTCAGCAAAGCTCCTGCCTTATTTGGTGCCCTTGTAGGGCCCCTCTCCGGTGGGGATGACCAGTGGGTGGCCAGGTTGGAGCATAGCTGAAGCTCCTCCCACAGTCCAGACATTTGTAGGGGTGGGTCACCCAGGTGGGTCTGGCAGTGATGGAGCAAACACCAAAGCCTTTCCCGCAGTCAGGATGTTGATGGGGTCTCCTCACCGCATGGGCACGTTGGAGCTTGGAGAGGGACTATCTCTGCCCAGACCACCGCCCACACTCGGGACATGCATGGGGTCTCTGCCCAGTGTGGACCATGTGGTAGGGAGCCAGCATCGCGCTCCCCCAAAGCCCTTCCCGAAGTCGGGGCATCAGTCAGGGTGCTCACCCATGTGGATGTGCTGGTGTTTCACGAGACTTATTCTCTGGACACCTCTTGGTGTTCTCTCTCTCCTTCTAAGCAAGATTTTCCTCCCCTGGCCCTGGCCTGGGGTCCATTTTGTCCTGACTCTCGCTGGCATCTTCAGGCTCCGGGACATCCCATGCGGCTCTGCTCTTGCAGGCCCTTCCTGCTGGTGATTTTCCTCCATCCTGACACCTGCTGGGAGACAGAAAGAATCCAGCCGGGGCTCGTTTCCTGCGCTGGGGAGAGAGGGGGCAGCAAAGGGGTTTGTCACTGAGAAGAAAACTTGATGGGCAGGAAGCGAATCCCCCCAAACCCTTCCCCAGAGGGGAGAAGAAGGGCCGGGTCTGTCCCAACGGCCCAGGAAAGGCCTCAGAGAAAGGCTGGGGGAGGGGAGGGCTCCTGCCAGGGGTGGGATCCAGGAGTGATGGCTGCCGTGAGAACAGGGACCTGCTGGGAATGATACTAAGCAAGATGAGACAGAATTGGGGGGCTCCTGGCGGCCTTACTGGGATCCCAGCTTTTCCCTTCAGTCCCAGACAGTCTCTGAGCCGGTGTCACTCATTCCTCATCTGTCCGGGATCCTCTTGGGATCTCCCTTTCCTCGGAGCCCTGGAGATCTGGGATGCTCGGCTCTTCCCTTCGCTCCATCCGGGAGATCACAGCTGGGTTGGGGATGGGGAATCCTGCTCGGGGAAGGAAACAGGTGAGATGGCGCTTGGTGAAGTCTCCCCCAAGAACTTATACAGAGAATGTGCCCTGATTTTAAACCCAGCCCTATTCTCTGTCAGGGGGATGTGGGAACTGAGCAAAGGGAAAATGTTCATAGGGATCCTTTCGGGTACCGAGATGCCTGGGGGAAGATGGCCTGCACCATCTGTAGGAGAGGGATCCCCTCTACACACGGGCAGTGGGGGGCTTAGGCCCAGTACAGGTATCCAATCACAGTGATAGTCAGACTAGTGACTATGTAAAAAGGGGTCCTTACAAACACAGTCATTGCCTCACTGGAGCAAACAAGAGAACCTGGGGAACTACAGACCGGTCAGCCTCACTTCAGTCCCCGGCAAAATCATGGAGCAGGTCCTCAAGGAATCCATTTTGAAGCACTTGGATGAGAGGAAGGTGATCAGGAACAGTCAGCATGGATTCACCAAGGGCAAGTCATGCCTGACCAACCTGATTGCCTTCTATGGTGAGATAACTGGCGCTGTGGATATGGGGAAAGCGGTGGATGTGATATATCTTGACTATAGCAAAGCTTTTGATATGGTCTCCCACAGTATTCTTGCCAGCAAGTTAAAGAAGTATGGATTGGATGAATGGACTATAAGGGGGATAGAAAGCTGGCTAGATTGTGGGGCTCAACGGGTAGTGATCAAAGGCTCGATGTCTAGTTGGCAGCCGGTATCAAGCGGAATGCCCCAGGGGTCAGTCCTGGGGCCGGTTTTGTTCAACATCTTTATTAAGGATCTGGATGATGGGATGAATTGCACCCTCAACAAGTTTGCAGATAACACTAAGGTGGGGGGAGAGGTAGATATGCTGGAGGGTAGGGATAGGGTCCAGAGTGACCTAGACAAATTGGAAGATTGGGCCAAAAGAAGGTTCAACCAAAAGAGGTTCAACAAGGACAAGTGCAAAGACCTGCACTTAGGATGGAAGAATCCCATACACTGCTACAGGCTGGGAACTGACTGGCTAAGCAGCAATTCTGCAGAAAAGGACCTGGGGATTACAGTGGATGAGAAGCTGGATATGAGTCAGCAGTGTGCCCTTGTTGCCAAGAAGGCCAACGGCATATTGGGCTGTATTAGTAGGAGCATTGCCAGCAGATCGAGGGAAGTGATTATTCCCCTCTATTCGGCATTGGTGAGGCCACACCTGGAGTATTGTGTCTAGTTTTGGTCCCCCCTCTACAGAAGGGATGTGGAAAAATTGGAGAAAGTCCAGCAGAGGCCAACAAAAATGATCAGGGAGCTGGGGCACATGATTTATGAGGAGAGGCTGAGGGAACTGGGCTTGTTTAGTCTGCAGAATAGAAGAGTGAGGGAGATTGGATAGCAGCCTTCAACTACCTGAAGTGGGGTTCCAAAGAGGATGGAGCTCGGCTGTTCTCAGTGGTGGCAGATGACAGAACAAGGAGCAATGGTCTCAAGTTGCAGTGGGGGAGGTCTAGGTTGGATATTAGGAAACATTATTTCACTAGGAGGGTGGTGAAGCACTGGAATGGGTTACCTAGGGAGGTGGTGGAATCTCCATCCTTAGAGGTTTTTAAGGCCCGGCTTGACAAAGCCCTGGCTGGGATGATTTAGTTGGGGTTGATCCTGCTTTGAGCAGGGGGTTGGACTAGATGACCTCCTGAGGTCCCTTCCAACCCTGATATTCTAGGATTCTAAACCAATGGGCCCATCTGGCTTGGTATCCCACCCCTCCCTGGATCAGCCCCATGATTAAAGAGCTAGACTGGTATCAAATGCACGTGGCACAGGGGACTCCTCGTTGGCCAGGTGTTTCCAGGGGGCCCTGCAGGGATCGGGTCTGGGCCCCACGCTACGAACGTGTTGGAAGGAGACATAAGGGGATCCCTGGCCCGGTTTGCAGAGGACCCGCGCTGGGGGGAGACGAGCGGTAGATCAGGAAGAGGCCAGGTGGCTGAGTCAGAGCCAGCTGCATGGGTGGGAAGTTCGGCACGTGTTTTAATACGGCGCGGTGTAAACGGGTCCGAAGGGGAACAAAGAACGTGGGCCCCACGCTCCCGGGGTGGGGATTGGCCGGAGCCCCCGTCACCCAGGGTCGCCTGGCCCTTTAAATCCCCAGCTTCTCGCCCTCATCCAAGATGGCCTCCCCCTGAAACTGCTTCCCCCCCTCCGATGCCCTTATACAAGATGGCAGCACCGCATGGCGGCACTGCTATGTCCCCTTGCCACCCCAACACACACACACACCTTACACGGTTGCCCCACCCCAAGATGGCGGCGGCTCAGCTTGAGCCGTGACACGGCTTTCTTTCTCGCCCTTTGCCAAGATGGCGGCCCCCACGGCTTCAAGCTCCGGGGACCCCCGGGCAGCAAGGCGCGCGCCTATTGGCTG